AAAAACAATCTTAAAGTGGTTTTTTCAACTACCACCTAATGTAAAATAATGGAGTATCTTTCTCCACCTAACATTTCAGATCTTCACTAAACAAGAAGCTGTACCATGTACAACTCACGTGTTTTTCACCAGAGAAAATCAAAGGGGAAGGCAAAACATTTTCCTCCCTGGACAGTAGGGTCCTCATCATCCCTCTGCTATGAGATAAAATCTCCTGAACTCAGGATGTGGATGTGTGTATTAGTCCTAATTTATCTCCCACCAAATTATTAGGCTTTCTAACACTGTAAAGGACACCAAAAAAATCACCGAGTTATTTTGATTCCAGGTCCACTGAAAAGTTCATCATACCATACATGTTACTGTGAACCAGCTCTGGGCCCTGGCATATCCACATGTTCTAGAAAGGCATTTTTTTGCTTTAACATGTCAAATCACCACTGTCTTAATTAAGACTGGTTTATGAATTTGTTTCAACAAAGCAAATCTTGGAAGGATTGCATCACAGAATAATGACATGTAATGTCAGCGACTGGATATGTCTAGCCAACTGGATATCTGTCATGGTGCTTAACCTAAAACTAGAATGATTGCTGAGAAATTCCAACTTACCCTGGAAACAACAAGGGTTTGAGGTGACTATGGAATGCACAAGTTCCAAAATTTGGGGGGATCCTGTTTTCTCTTTCTGACACACTTGAGATATTTGGCTTTGGCACAATGACATATTCTTAGAGAGCTGATGATTCTCAGAAATTTAACTCTTCATGAATCTCCTAAATTTGATCTGAGTTGTAACCTCAGCTGGCCCCCGTTACACAAAGATTTTCTTGATTATATTATAGATAAAAGGATGTTTGAATGTTGGCTTACAAACATAGGTGTCCCTGATCAAAGAAAACTCAGTAATTTAAAAACAGTATCCTAAACTTTCTTTTGATGTGTGGAATATTACCAGCAGGGGCTAAAAAACGTGGAAGGGTTCTCTCACAGCATCTCACGCTATCTTCTCACTTATGCAGCTGAGAAATATGGCTAACGTTTTTTTTGTTTTTGTTCTAAGTAGGACTTTCCTAATTTCTGGAAAACTTTAAGGAAATCTCCTGTTATACATCACTGGCTCATAGATGCCTATCATATAAAAATTCACAGATTTATTTTCCCTTCAATATTTGTCCCCGCATGGCCTTCCACTTACTGGATAACAAATTATTACTTTGTCATTGCTTCTCTGAATTACTGAGGATATCTTTAATTCTGTTTTTAAATCTTAGGGGTTTTTCTTTCTTTCTTTTTTTCTTTAAATTCTAGAAGGGAGAATCAGAGGCAGGGCTAGAATCTGGCCCTCCTGATTCCAAGTTCCTGGACTGAGGACTTGGAAGAGGAGAAATGACAGCATATCACTTTCATTTCTTTTTAGCTGTAGGGAATCTGTGTTTCTAGGAAGTGACGAGAGGCAACTGATTCTGACTTTCTTTTGCATAGAGCCCGCATTCACTTTTAAAATGAGGTTTGCTAAATCCCAGACTACTTACTGTGTTAAACAGTGTTTTCCTTTTTCTGGTATAGAAATTCCTCTAAAGGAAAGGCTACCTGAAAAAAAGGAAGAGAGAAGAATTTACCTGTTATTTGTACCCCTGGCTTTTCCACCTTCGATGTTGAATATAGGGTCTTTCCCCGTCCACCCATTGCTGTTATAAACTAACTCTTAGATGAATAAGCCGGGTCCTTATTAAATCTGCATTTTTTTTTACTTCATACATGAGAATCAGGCTTTTTTTGCACTTTAGTTTATTTTTCCCAGTTTGCTAGAAATGAAAGCCAGTTCTTCCCTCATGTTAGTCATTCCTCTGATTTGCTTAAAAGGAAACTGCAACCTGCAGAGAATAGCCTGAGGCATTGTGGGGGTGGAGGAAAAAAAAAAACCCTTTTAACAGCTGCCTGGTGCCTGGCCAAGGGGCAAAGTTCTCTCATTGGATAAAAACCATTTTTCTCCTCTTATCCATTGCTTCCCACTGCACTACTAAAGGCTCTCTACAAACACGCAGATCTGCCAAGCATAACATGATCACACCTAGCCAGCCGTGGCCGCCAGCCACGAGAGATAGGCCCTGAACAGGGCTTGTTGCTGTTGGATTTACCCTTTCATCTCAGGGTTTGTCTAGACAGGTCTCTTTTCTCTTTTGCCAGTCTGATTTCCAGCACAATAACGACATTTTAAATTTGTGTTCATTGCTCTCTTTTTGCCCCCCTCAAAATTTAATCTATCTCAGAGTTTTCTAGACAGAAGGTGGAGAAACAGCTAAGCTCCTCGATTTGTTTCCTACAGTCATCGGAGCTAAATTAAGGGAAGCCAGGCAAATGCTAGAAAGCTGGAGGTAGAAATGAACTGACCTCTACAGTTAATTCATGGAAATTGAAAGTACATACATACAGAGGAAAATACACTAGATTTTTAATACCTGGGATGTAAAGCTGCAATAGGAAAACTTTACAGCATTTTCTAAACGAAATACTTGAATATGCTCATTTGCTTTAGATGTAGCATTTTTCCATACTTGCTCTTTTCTTTTTCAGAAATTTTCTTCCCTATTTTACTCTTACCTGCATCCTTTGCTTGGCAGCTCAAGTTATTTTTAGATCTGTGTCTATGCAGCTATATAATATCAAAGGAAAAATTCCTCTGGTTTTTACTGTTCTACCATAACAATATTTGGTTCAAACTGTACTATCTTAAACCTCAGGGAGCAGCTCTACCAAATCACTTTCATTCGTGAAAGCTGAGCGGAGCCTAGGAAGGACCTGAGAGATCGCGCATAGCAACCTGGAGGAAAAGATCCTATGCAAACACTGGCAGAGTGCCACGAGGAAAAGCTGCCATAAAAAAACATACATTTTCAAAGATCACTTTATAATAGTCAATAGAAACCAGGTTTTTCTTTCTTTCTTCGATTTCATTACATTTAAATCTTTTTGTCAGTGGTAAGCAATGAGGAAAATTTGCTTCTTTGCTAAATGTTCATATCTTCAGCCACCTATACTTTCTCACATTAAAAATTCAAATTATTTGAAAATTTGATACCAAAAACTGCGGCTTCAATATTGTCATATTATTTGTTTTGGAATTTTGGCTATTGCATAAATACAGAAGCAAAGTCAAAAGATTTTTTTCTTAAGTTGGAGGGCTGTTTCAAAAATACAATGCAGGCAAAATCTTGTTTTTGCTTTGATTTTAATGGCAGACCAACCACATTTTACTGCAGCCATTATAAGCTATAAGCCCACTATAAATTGCCTTTGACTGAGCCTCAAACATGCAGCCTCTAAATGGTCAAGAGCTTTGAATCATTTGAGCTTCGTATCTATTTTGAGTTGCAGCTTAATCTATTTAATATAGGGTTCCTTCCATTATAGAGTTGACAGATTTCACTTGGCTGGTGGCTAAGTGCTGGGAGCACTGACCGCAGACAGACTTCGATGCTTAAACATCCATCCAGTTAAGAACATGCTAAGTAATTACCAAGTAACTAATACTCTAGGATGTTTCTAACCTCTTTGGTTCAGATGTGGGACAAATAAATAGATATCAAGAAAAGATCAGTTTATTAAGACCAGATATATGTTTGTGTGTGTGTGTATCAAAGATAAAGATATTTTCAAATTTACTTAAAAAATCATCAACAGATATTTTTGTACAACTTTTTTGATATTTTTCTAATATAGAAAGTAGTGAGCCATTATAGTGAGCCATTGGTACAAAATTGGGTCAAGGGTATATAGTGTGACATTAAAGATCTCTCAGTATTTTTAGTTCCCTGAGGATGACCCTATTGAATGCTTTGACTAAGAACTACGATACATTTTGGAGGGGTTTTAAAAAAGATTTTATTTACTTATCTTTAGAGAGGGAAAGGAGGGAGAAAAAGTGGGAGAAAAACATTAATGTGTGGTTGCCTCTCATGTACCCCCTACCAGGGATCTGACCCACAACCCAGGCATGTGCCCTGACTGGGAATCAAACTGGCGACCCTTTGGTTCATAGGACGGCACTCAATCCACTGAGCTACACCAGCCAGGGCCATTTTGGAGTTTTGATAGGATTCTAATAAATGCCTAGTATAAATAGTTAAGTTCCTTGGAAATTATCTCCAACTTCTCAGAAAACTAAAATATGGAAAACACAGGAAATTCTTGAAAGCTCTCAATGTCACTAATTTTCTTCTGGATGCCTGTGTCAGAAAACTGAAGTTTTCCCTTTCAAAAGGATGTATTAAGCCCATTAAGGATTCCAACTTGATAACACAATTATTCTGCAGTAACCTACTAAATTATAATATACTGAAATCATAAAATAGATTTAGGATATAGGAGTAGAGATATGTACTTCAGAAAAGTAATTATAAAATAATTATCTATTCGTGTTCTTTGGATAAAGACATCAAATCATTTAATTTGTGTTCATATTTTTTACTTTTCCACCAGGGGGCAGGGTATGCTAACTATTGAACTGGTGGACACTAAAGGCACACAGGCAATTTTAGACAGAAGTGAGAGTTCCACAGATCCTTTAGAGGAAGAGCTGTTGAGTTGTTCACCGTGTAATTTGCACACCAGTTATAATTTAAAACTGAAATTTAAATTAATTAAAGGAAATTGAAAATAATGGTTTCTCCTATTCCCATGTTTACAGATTACTTTCTTCATAATTATTGCAACTCAAATTTGACGTATTTTTATAAAAAATAAAAATCCTCATAGAAACAAAGCTTACTGTGGAAACTTTAGAAAATACTGATAAGTAAATGTAATTTATAGTACCTTTGAGAGAGAGGATTACATTTAGATTTATCTGAGGTAAAATGCATTTATTTGTAAGTACAAGTGACTCCACATTGATGCTGTTCACCATTACTTTAACATTATTAATGATAAGCTTTTTTATTAGAAGAAAGTGGAAATTTCTCAGGAGCATGAATACTACTCCTCTCATTTCTTTTCAGTGTCCAAGCAAAACCTATGACCCACTGATCAAATCCACCCGAGATTTCCCCGATGATGTCATCAGTTTCATCAGGCGACACCCTGTGATGTATAAGTCAGTATATCCAGTCGTGGGAGGACCGACGTTCAAGCGAATCAATGTGGATTACAGACTGACACAGATCGTAGTGGATCACGTGGTTGCAGAAGATGGCCAGTACGATGTGATGTTTCTTGGAACAGGTACCCTAGAATGAGATTGTGCTTTCCTTCCAAAGCATTCTTCATTATTACACACACACACACACACACACACACAACTTCCCAAAACTTCAAAAATATCTATTGTTCAAAAACAAAATGATTAATTATTAGCTAATATCTAGTCAATATTTTTTTTGTTGTGCTCAACCTTAGGGAAATTATCCTATGCTCTTCACACTCAAACCTGCCTGTTTTTCTCATTAGTTGTTTTCCTGAGTTTTAAGTACCTTCTGGGATTACCTTGTTGGGAATTATCCAAACCAAGATAGATACATCTCTTTTCAGGTGCTCACTTGTTAGTTATTATTTATTAAAATTGCATAGCATGAGCTTTTAATCGACAATCATAAATGTCTCCCAACCTCCTTTAGTGTTTATTTAAGATTTCAAAATATATTTGTATATTATGACTGCAATGTGTCTGCTACAGATTAGGTGGTCAATATGTATTTGTTGAAAAACTGTGGACTAAAATTAAACAAGTAAGACAAGACACTGTTTCTTTATTTTCAAACTTCTCATTTCCTTTTTCCTGCATACATTTGATAAACCCTACCCCAAAGGATCCTTTCCCCCAGTTTTGAGAATCAGTGACTGAAGATGACTTAAAATGGCTTTTCAAAATAGTTACGCATTGCTTTGTAAAGCTCTTTAAGTAGGAACTTCTTGGAGATTAATTTTTTTATCCTTGAATTTGTAGATTAATTATCACTTTCATTCATTATTGGAGCCTGCTGTACTTATTATTTTTGTATGCCAACTTAGTAATTAAAATGATGATTTTTTTTGCCAGAGAGAGAACTATTGCTTATTAAGCACATCTCAAAAATAAGAAAAGTATTATCTAATAATATCATTACAATTCTAATGGCAGTAAATAAAACAGGAGTCTTTAACACAAAAGCACTTACGTAAAGTATGTTAATTTAATGGATCAAGCATTGCACAATGATAGAAACTAATGCGTTTTCATAAAATGAACATTTTTATTGGAATAGGTTTTTAGGAGTCCAGAGCAACTTTAGAGAAACTTTAATCCTAAAAATAGGCTGGTTCTACAGAAGTCAGGTTTATTACGAAGCGTGTGTGTAACAGACCCCACGAGCTTCCAAAGAAGTAGTCTGACTTGACTGTGTTGCAAAAGCACTGCCAAGGCAAAGGCAAAGAAATGATGCTACTGCTTCTACAGAGGTAGCTGCTGAAATGTCAAAACTTGAATTAGGTTGTCTCTCATTCTAATGAGTTTGCGGGTTAATTTCTACTCCTTACCCAAACTCATTCCTAGGTTTTGAATGTTTCAGTGTTATAAATGCCATTCTGCCACTAGGTGGTACTACCTCCTTTTTACTGATTAAATTATGAGGATGCTAAGATTTTCAATGATGGCATTTGGAAAAGATATATTTAATATTTTGAAGATCCCAGAGTCATGTGAAAACAGATGAATAATCTAGACTATTTTGTACAAACAGGATTATTACCATGCTTGTAGATACACCCCAACCCCAGTGCTTAGAACTTTAAAAGCATGTATATTTTGTATACATTAATTTGAAATGGGATTCGTTTTTTCTTTTTTTTTTTGTAAAATGTTCTTTCCCTTGTTTTTCTGTATTAGTTGCCACCTTGTGTAACTGCAGTGTAAGGTCCTATACATAAGTCATCTCTTCAAAATGTCAATTTTGGGGGTTATATTACTAACCTTTTTATAGTCTTTAATTTAACTAAATAATTTAAAACAAAACTTTAGTTTCTAGTGCACCAATAATGTTTCTGTATGTAAAATAAATTTGTAAAATGAGCTACAGTTTTCTTCATGTATATAATTTTAATTATTTCTTTCATTTGTTAACATTATTAAATATGTATATCCTTTTTGTGGTGAATTGAATATAATAATTACTTAATAAATATTTCTTACATTGAAAGTTTTTTTCCTTTACCACATTTAACTTTTTAAATTGTTTTAAAATGTTGTTCCACTTTTGTTATCTTTTCAACCAATATTTAAATGAGACATAATATTTCTCTTGTGAGGAATATACTCCAAGCATGTCTCTTTTAATATTTACTTTGTAAATATGTGTTTTATGAGATAACAACTATAATATTTTGGGAAGGGAGAATTCTATACATTAAGCTTCACTTCTTGCATGCTTTATTTAATCTGATTTCTTGAAAGGCATTTAAAGAAAATTTAGTGTCATGCAAAGATTTCTAGGAATATGCTTACAACTGGACATTGAAGGAGGACTAGGATAACGGGTAATGTATTTTTTCAGACATTGGAACCGTCCTAAAAGTTGTCAGCATTTCAAAGGAGAAGTGGAATATGGAAGAGGTTGTGCTGGAGGAGTTGCAGGTATTCAAGGTAAGACTCTGACCAGAGTCCCAGGAGAAGGGACAGTGAAATTGAGTAGGCTTTGACATAGGACATGTTTTAATACATCATCACTTCTCCTGGAAAATTCTTTGCAAGTAACTTCTTTATTTTCCTTTTCCTTACACAGTGGGAAAAAATTAAAACAATTAAGAATAAGACTCACCTTTCCCTGTAGAATAGCACCAAACTTGGGGCTCCTGGGTTTGCCCTTCATTACTGCACTCTCTGAGCTTGAGGCCACACAAGTTGCCACAGCAGATGAAAGCCTGGGTCTCTTTAACTATCCAGGTGCTTTCTACTTTATAAATTTTACTTTTCAATTTTTCCTTAATTAAATTTGAGAAAACTGGAAGAGTTTTCTCATGTGCCCTTGCTTTTCTGTAAGGAAATTAAATGAAAAAATAAGGTTGTGTTAAGTCTTCATGTATGTTAAGTTCCCCTTGCCCACCAAAAGAGTTGGTCAATCTAAAATAATCGTTCTCCAGATTTAGGGAATGCCTTTGATTTTTAACAGTCACTTTGAGTTGTGGCATTCTTTGTAGACCCTTAATGAACTTCAGTTTAAAATTATTTATGAAAATAACATTAGAAATAAAATTGTATTTCTTATAAGAGCTTTTAAAAATATGGTGTGCCTTTTCTAACATTTTTACTAAAGCAGTTATTAAAATGGACTGTTTTCTCATAAACATCTCTTGCCCTCAAAGAGAATAGAGCCCTCCACTTGGAGGGTCTCGAGTTAATTAACATGCTGGGTTCCATGGAATCCTGTTTACATTGTGAAGATAATAGTGGTCAAGGAGTTAACAAGGAAAAGACCTGCTATCTGGTGTCTACCAAAAACAAAATCTTGGGTGGTTCCCAGGGGAGAAGCTGGTGTCAAGTGTAAATGTGAACCCTGAGGCCAAAAATAAAGCCCTGCTGACACACATGGGTATATTAAAATAAGTCTCCTTCAGTGGATGTCAGTAGTCAACAGGAATCCTTTGGGTTTCACTGTTAAGATTAAATAACAAACATGTTTTCTTAAATACAGAATGAATATTGGCTAGAACTTCCTCACTTTAAAATTTTTTCTTCATATAGTTTCTTAAACTTTTGACATCTGCTACTGTTTGTGGATTAGTAAATACTGACTAGTGAGAAATGAATGAATTTAGATAGATAGAAAAAAGTAAACACTCCATCCTTCTTTTTGGTGGCTTTTGTGTTCAAGTTTATGATTTTATATGGCATAATAGAGCCATGTTTTCTACAAATAAAACTGGCCCCAGTTTATACCAAGAAAGCACGTGCACCAGTGTCTCGCAGTGCTCCATGAGGAATGTGGTCCTCCACAAGGAGCACTATAACTCTTCAGAACTCTGCTACTTGAACAGGTTTTTCAACTACTGATCTAAGTAAGAGCAGAAAAAAGTAATAAATAATTGTGGAGATGTTCTTGTCAACACTAGTTTGAATTATATGGAAGCAGTTAAGATAAGCAGATTTAGAAGAAGGGGAAACCTTGTGGATAACTGGGAACAATTTTCAACAGAATGGTTCTCATACAGTTAGGTGATTTTTCTTTAATAAGATACTTTAAAGTAACTGTTTCAATCATTTCTAGTAGGGTAGAATCCGTACCTATTGGGAGAAAATAGCAAACATTAAGATCTTTTCCTTCCCTATATAATAGAGCCTTGAAGATTACTTCATTGATCTTTGGTACAAGATAAAACAACATACTGTTTTCTCTAAAGGACTGTTAATGGTGATTAACATTGAACTTCTTTTTTCAGCACTCATCAATCATCTTGAACATGGAGTTGTCTTTGAAGCAGGTACTTTCTAATTTTTTTGTATAAAAATTAACCACAAAGCAACAGGATAATTTGATCAAAGTTCATTTTTAGGGAAAATCTATTGAAGTTGAACGTTAAATTATAAGTAATAGAAAAAACTTTATGTGTTTATTTTATAACTGATAAAAGGCTACAATTTCAACTTTGCCTTGGGAGAAATGAAACCAAATTTCATTAATTGAATAATATATTACCTGCTCCCTTGGCTCTTGAAAATTGAGCTCACTCTTCCAGTCTCATGAGGATGTCTTTCTGTCAAGGCCATAAAGTAATTTATGTAGAATACCAGCTTTAATCATTAAAAATGGTTTTTAATCAGGGAGTCTAGGAGTTAGACTATGAACTGCAAAGGCAAATAGCCCAACAGTTAACCTCCAATCTGACTCCCAGAATCAATTTCCTCAACAGCAAAGTTTAAAAAAAAAATCCACTTCCTAATAAATAGGATGCTGCATGCAAAGTTTTAGACTGAGAGATAGTACATTATAAGTGTGAAGTAAATGGTAGCTAATAATAATAACAATAATATTTAATATGCTTTCCCAGTTCTCAGATATGATACCTTAAGTCCCAGTTGATTCAAAAGATTAAGACTTGCATTCCCATGTCTATATGGACCCTTAAAGTTTAAGAAATCATGTGATAACATGTTCAACATTAAGGTGTTTCTAAAATTGTCTTAGACTACTATGCCTAGTATGGTACAGGGATTTTTAGGGAAAAGATCTAAATAGGTTTCTTCTTCAATATCTTTCATTAACTTGTTCATTCATTCAATATTCGCTTCTTGAAGGCCTACTGCTGTCCTTGGAAGGTACAGAAATGCACGAATGACTTAGCCCTCAGTCTCTGGAAGCTCATAGGCGAGCTGGGAGACAAAGGAGCTGCTAACAGTGCAGAGAACAATGGAAGCATATACTAGGGAGACAGTGGAGACAGACAAATCTAAATGAAAGCCATGGGTACAGGGGAAAATAGCACAAAACAGAGATATGTAACCTGAGCAACATCAAAGATTTTGCAGTTATCCAGATAAATATAAAGGGAGATGGGTGGGGAAGTGTATCCCAAGTAAAAGAGAACACTTGGAAAAGTGTGAAGAGCAAGACATGATAGTTTGTTCTAGTAAGTTTTGTACAATTAGAGCAAAGGGTATATGTATGCTCCAGGGATAAGAAGCTAGAAATGAATCTGGGGAAATAAGACAGAGCAAGATTAGGTACATCTTTATATGTTCTGCTGAGAAGTTTAACAATTTTATCTAAGGACAATGGAAATCTTTAATCAGGAGGGTGTGATAATAAGATTTTCCTTTTAGAAAGATCAATCTGATGTGGTAGTGACGAAGATGGTTTGAATCCTGTGTGAGAGGTGGGGGTTGTTGGAAAACAAGACTGAAGTCAGTGGAAATATTGGGGCACTACCGAGTAATCCAGGACAGAAATGATAAGGCCTGAAACAGTGGCAGTGGCAATGGAGAGAGAGGAAATAGATTAGGAGTTCTTAAAAAAAAACATTTAATGAGTTTATTTATTTATTTTTAGAGAGGGGGGTGAAGCAAGAAAGAGGGAGAGAAACATCAACATGTGCTCACCTCTTGTGTGCCCCCTACTGGGGATCTGGCTGGTAACCCGGGCATGTGCTCTGACTGAGAATGGAACCGGTGACCCTTTTGTTCACAGGCTGGTGCTCAATCCACTGAGCCACACCAGCTAGGGCTTGATTAGGAGTTCTGTATGAGAGAATGGAAAAGATAAGGCAACAGACTGAAGGAGAGAGAAAGATGATTCAAAGACAACTCCTAGATTCATATCTTGGGTGGCTGGAGCAGCGCCTCTTACCAAGATCAGGTAGCAGGAGAAGATTTAGGGGAATCAGTGTGTTCACATTTTTGTTGCTTTCAAGATTCTGCTGAGTCTTTGCAATAAGAATGGAAAATAAATGAGAATAAAAAAGAGACTCAATGTTAATGCAAAGAAAAAGATCATCAAAGGAATTAGAAGTCAGGCAGAAATAAAGAGGAAGAACCAGAGAAAGTAAAAAGGGTTTCAAGTCCTTAGTGTCAAACACTATAGAAAATTTAAGTAAAGCATATACTAAAAAATATACATTGTATTTAGCCACCAGGCAGTCTCAACTGGCAGTTTAATGGGTGGGGGAGGTACAAGACAGATTGCTGTAGGTTGAGTACATGTATATTATTTGTGCCAGTATCTATTTTCTCAGATTTTTTTCCTTCGGTATAAAGTTCCACGTGGTCCACTAGAGTTGACCATGAGCTTTTGAAAGGCACAGGCTATGGCTTGCTCACTTGCACCACCCACCCCTCATTCCCCACTCCCTCACCACCACCACAGACACTCAAATGCATGCCTGTGGGGAGCAGAGCATTGTTTTCAGGACTTATTCTCAAAATATAAGTTTGTTTGCCAGGTTTCTCAGTATCCTGAAGCCTTTCATTTATGATCTGGCATTCTTCAAATCTCCTTAATACTTTCTTCACAGTGACACCAAATGCTTTCTCTTCCACTTACAGCCCTTTTCCTTCAGGGATCATCAGTATATACTTCATTAGCAAATGATGGTTAGGTAAAACCACAGGAACATCTTATAAATCTCTTTTCAGCCATCTTTTATGCAAGAAACTGTGTCAGGTGAAGATCATCAGTATTGCTTATAGCATGTGTGCTTGATATAATTTGCCAAAGAATATTTTCAACTATTGAGAAGGAATTTGACATCTTAATTCCTCAGTCTGGCAGCTGGTTTTTGACCTTCTTAAATTACTGCCAAGGTTACTCTAGCCCTATAGAATGCTGTCCATTTCAGTATCAAGGTCTTCAAACCACCATTCTGCCAGGGTGGAAGTGATTGACTTATCTTAATCTTTATTGTGTGTCAGTACAAGTGTTCATTATGGGCAGGACACCCGAGGAGACAGAGTTAGATCTGTGATGTGGTATTCAAGAAAGGGAAGTTCTTAAGACTAGTTTGAAAGATGCTGCTAATTCATTTGTTTTGCCTGCTTTGCAGCAACAGTTGTACATTGGTTCCCAAGATGGATTGGTCCAGCTCTCTTTGCACAGGTGTGACACTTATGGGAAAGCTTGTGCAGACTGTTGTCTTGCCAGAGACCCCTACTGTGCCTGGGATGGAACTGCATGCTCTCGGTATACACCTACTTCCAAAAGGTAGGAGGCACATGGAGTTCGTATGACACTTTTCTTACTCTACAATGAATATTTCACAAATATACCTTGCCTTATAGTTTAAGTTAAAGAGAAAATATTATATAGAAAACATGGTCTAGTAGGAATACTGAAATTAAAATATTATTTTATAGTTTGGCATAACACTAAATTTTGAAGAATAAAGACAATGTTCTGAAGATCTGACATGTGGAACTTCTAAAAATTCTGATAAATTGTTTATATTCTTTTCCTTTATGGTGTTAGACACCATTAAAAGTTTCTTTTTCTTTATTACTTTATTCTTAACTACATTCCTCCCTTTTTCATTTTTATTTCTAAAGATGTAGGTACTATTGTTTTGCATATCATGTGTAGACATATATGTTTGTAAAAGTGTGGGTTACATACAGTCCAGGCATATCCAGTGACTTGGTACGATTTTACTTTTATAGTAATAACTAACTTGGCCAATTTCTGCAACTCATATATACTTAAACATTAAAATGTGCCCTGTTATTTATAGTTCATTGCTTTACATGTCTTAAAAACAGTGCTATTTTGAGTCAATAATTCCCAGTTAGAGATTTATGCCACACACACACACGGGCAAAAGTACCCCAGAAAAATATATTCAAACAGGCTCACTTTAGCATTGTTTTTTTCAATAGCAAGATTAATGGAGCAACCTGCCTGCCCACCAATTTGACTGATGCTGGTTAAATGTATTATGATAGAATTATTTTTTAAATGTGGAATATAGTAGTAACACTATTTTCTAAAGTATGGTTAAAGTATATTTTACTCTAGGTAAAAATTCAGCAAATTGTATATGGTATTATTTAAATGAACAGGTCTTTATTAACAAAATAATACAACAGGGAAGCATATGCACTATTTCTTTTGAAATTTTACTGATTTGTCAAATTGCAAATTTTAGGGATTGCAGCTTGAATGTGTAGTTGCAGTAGAGATACTGCTTAAAATTAAGAGACTTTATAATCCTTGAAATCTCTGAATTAAGTGTGAGTATGGATTATTAAAAGGTGCAAAATAAAAAGTCATCAACATTTTGCTATAGACTTTGTTCAAGAATGTACTCATCAGAGTGAGTATTTGGGGAATGCTTTTGTTTTCTACAAGCTAAAAACCAAGAATGATCATTAGTTGGTAATGAACCTTCAGTTTGATGAATTGACCCTGTTCCTTAAGAAGTCAAGATTTAAAAACATTCTTGACCTATGCACCTTATACCATCATAAGTTTTTCTTGTCCTTCCCAAGGATGTACCTGCGATCCTGCAGACATGCCACTGTGACGTTTCCCCTCACCAGCACTATGTCCATGTGAGCCAAAAATGTGTGCGATAGGGGAATCTTGTGCAGGGTTGTCGTCTGGTCAACACTGCCCTTAGGGACACTCTATCAAAGGTGTCCAACCTGCAGCCCAGGATGGCTATGGATGTGGACCAACACAAAGTCACAAATTTACTTAAAACTTTTTTTTTTGCTCCTCAGTTTCCATTAGTGTTTGTATATTTAATATGTGGTCCAAGACAACTCTTCTTCTTCCCGTGTGGCCCAGAGATGCTGAAGGTTGGACACCCTGCTAGATATTGAAGGAGGTTTGCTATGACTTGTATGGTCTCTGAAGTGGCAATATAAAATGGCCAAAGCAAATGAAGATATATTGTAATTATGAAATATTTGTTTAACATAGGCATAGCAATTTTTTATACAGTAGTTACTATTTTCTCTTAAGGAATACACAAACTACAATACACAAAATCATTATTTATTACTATTATCACTACAATCAGAAAACAATGGGAAGTATGTATCAGCAGATCCAAATAGCATCTAGACATTCACACCATATCAAATTTGTACTTCTGTTTTAAGTAACAATATTTAACTTGTTGCTTTAATTAAATCTATGCAATACTAAATCTTCATATGATAAGGTGTTCTGTACTTGTGTATATTTTCTTACCCATGAAGGTTCTTCTACATCTTATTACCTTCCTTATGACTGACTTAAAAAAGAAGGTAGGGATGGTTATTGTAACCACTTAATGTACACATAACCTAGATTATATATATAGTCAACTTATTCTGCTGTCAAATTCAGAGAAAAAGAATGCTGTATTAGTTAAACAAAATTCAGATCATCTTATTGCCCAAATAGGATTCCTCCAATTAGGATGCACTACTACTACTATTTGATTAAATGTAGAGTGATTGGAATATTGACCTGCATTTAAGTTGAGCAGTAGATAAGCATATTTCTGCTTCTGCCACAGTTGTTAGTGTTAGCTGTAAATTTTGTGTATTCCATTTACCATACTTGAAGTTCTAAACAGTTTAATCCCTTTTCCTTAGGCGAGCTAGACGCCAAGATGTTAAGTATGGAGACCCAATCACCCAGTGCTGGGATATAGAAGACAGTAAGTATAGGTTTAATATGCTTTTCTCTAATTTAAAATGTTAAGCCTAGTCTTTGTGTGTCTTTCCATTATATGACTTAAAAACATTTATTATATAGGAAGATCTCATTTTGTGCAATGCTTATATTCTGGAAAAGCAACAGGAGATTTTATAAATTAACACCCTGTCCATGTGCCTAAGTGAATAATCCTTTGTTATATCACTGTTTCAAGTCTTTTAAAATTCCTATACTTTTTCCTTTTTTACTGCCTTATATATCATTGTAAAATTTGAAAATTGCTCTTAGAGATAAAACAGGATATATAGTCCAAAACATATAAACATTTAGAGGAAACTCAAAATTCCCAGAAAAGTTGACAGAAGTGTAGGCCAGGCACTTCATAGAAAGAAGGTTTAGGTAGATCATGTGTTGTTTCTGTTCACTTATTAATGCAGGTCTTCATTCAATCAGTGAATATTTATTAGTGATTGTGTGTACATATAATTGTCTTGTGTATACTTTGAGACAAAGAAACTCCCTAGAGAGCTTACAGCTGTTTGGGGAGATGTCATAAAGCACAATTAGTGGTAAGGAAATTTAGCAAAAAGAGATCACCAGAGGTGTCATAGTTCAGAGGAAATTTCATAAAAATTTGAAAACCTGAATATGAGAAGTGCAGAGTGGAGAATAGAGAGGAGGTTTGTTGAGTAAATGTGTAAACAGAAAAAAATCTATAATTATATATTTTAGAGCTTTAGTTACTTGCTACTGTCAAGCTCTCTGCCAGAAACTGTAAGTGTGTGCACGCACACACAGACGCCGCTGCAAGAAGGAAGGAGCTGCCCCCCCTTCAGCGCATCGTCAGTCATGACCCCGTAATTGAATAAACAACCCAAATTTTATAGTCTGTAATTTATGATACAGCAGCATTTTCATAATTTAAAAATAATATAATTATTTATGATTCATAATTTCATTCTTTTGAAACATAAGCTCTGGTCTAGAATCCTACTTTGACTTTTTCTGGTATGTACGTGACTCACCGTCACATCCAATGTTTTATTTACAAATCATCACTAAGTGTATAGTCTCCCCATGTGTATGTGAGATTCACCAGGAAATATTATAGGTATTGAAGAAAATACACCAATGAGCAAAAAACAAAGTAATCTGCACACAATGCAATGTACAGATGATGTATTGTAGAACTGCACACCTGAAACCTGTGTAACTTCATTAACCAGTGGAATCCTAATTAATCAATTTAATTAAAAGAGGAAACAATCTGCATTCATAGAACTTCTACTCAAGTATGTATTAGGGGAGGGAGCAGGCAACAAACGTAAAAATAAGTAAAATGCGTGTTACATCAGATAATGATAAAGTTATGAAGAGATAGAAAACACAACTGCTGCCTAAGGCACTTACTTACAGTTTTGACTCCACTTTGCCATACCACAAATCACCCATTTTCACTCTAACCCAGTGCACACAGGCTTTTTTTGTCATCACCATCACTTGACCAGATCTGTTTGTTATCAAGGTCAACAATTTCTTCCTTGCTAAATCCAACGGCCAATTTTCATGTTCCATTTTTATTTAATCTCTAACTCTCTCTTCCTTGAAACACTCTCATTACTTGATTTCTGGGCAGTAATGTGCTGAAGCTGGTTCTTATGGCCACACGAGAACTGATCGCAGATGATTTAGGAAATTTGTGAGCTGGCTTTAAACCACTGCGAGTTTGAATCATCCATGGTGGGCATTTTTACACCAGGAAAATCAGCAAACACTAGGGATCAGGGCTTTTTATTTTTTCAGAGAGGGTATCCCAGTACACCTAAGTTTGTTACACCACATCTGTCTAATTCTCTCCTTATCTTATAGGTTGCCCCTTCTGAGTATTCTTAAGTTTCTTTTTCATCCACCATCTACCGTCTAAACATCCAGTCTCTGCCTGTTCACTGCCTAATACCATCAATGTCGATTCTGCCATACTCCCAAATTTATAGTCTAGTTCTGAACTTTCTCTTTGTCCAAGACTTGTATGCCTACTCAAAAACCCATCTTAGATGCCTAAAAATCATGTGAAATTATATCTGCCAGAGAAACCCTGTTACCTTCTCCAAAATTTTACCATTCTGATAAATTTCTCATTTTAGTACGTAGAACCACTATTCTACCAACTGCTTAGGTCAAAAAAAGCAGCTAGGAGTCATTTCTTTATTCTTCTCTTTTTTTCTCATCCTATCACCAACCTCTCAGTAAGGCCATTTGGCTCTGTGGCCACTAGTTCTCACTACCTCTGTAGATACCAGCCTAACTGAATCTACCAGCCCTCCCTGTGTCTATTTACTTGGTTTCCCAGTTGTGTGCTTGCCACCTCCCTCAGTCTACATCCCATTCACTGGCTTTTTCTGTTTCAAAAGCACCAGTCTGGTTCCTACCTCAGCTGTGTGTGCATTTGTTTCCTCTGTACCTGAGGAACTCTTCTGGTATCCACACAGCTTCATTGTCACATAACTTAATTCTATCCTTTTAAAAAATATTTTATTTATTAATTTTAGATAGAGGGGAAGGGTGGGAGAAAGAAAGCGAGAGAAACATCAATGTGTGGTATCCTCTCATGTGCTCCCTACTGGGGACATGGCCTGTAACCCAGGCATGTGCTCTAGACTGGGAATCAAACCGGTGACCCTTTGGTTCGCAGGCTGGCACTCAGTCCATTGAGCCACACTAGCCAGGGCTATACACATCTAATCTTGTTGAAGTGACTGATACATGGCTCCAGTGCCATGCCATTTATTTGTTATAAAAATATTCCAGGTATTTAATGATGAAAAATATTTTCGACTGCAATCTGGAAGATTAAAATACTATCTTCAAAATTATTATATACTTAATGAGATATTCTATTTTAAAACATTATTATAAACAACCTTTGCACTTTTAAAAATTGATAGTAGTATAATATGATATAATATATATGTCTGCATACATTATACCTGCATATATACATACATACATATATTTCTAAATTTGAAAATAAGAAATTTAAAGCCCATAAATAAAGCAAACATTGTTTGAAGCAACAATAAAATTATTTCCAAAGTGATGACTTTGTGTCAAAGGGTCACTGTTTTTACTGATTTGAAAAAGGATTTCATGCAGTTATCTATTTCACTAACTTATCTTTTACTAAATTGATTAATTCTTTGGTTGAATCAGTCTAACTGAGTTTCTTCTGAGCCCTCGCCCATCACCTAGTAATCAACGTGCATCCTCCCTGCTTTGTTCCTGAATTCCCTTTGCTCAGGAGGATGGGGTCTGTTACTATGAAGTGATGCATTTCTTTGTCTCCAGATCTGCACTTGTGATCTTTCTGTACATTAGGAATTTATTAACTGTGAAAATTGTAGTTAAAATCTGTTGAATTGGCAGAGGTAGTGGATAGGTTACAGATTTCAAATGGAATCTGCACATTCAGAGGTTAGATTATAGACAGACAGATAGATCATAATGGTGTCAGCATGCTTCACTTAACTATTTCTGGTAAAACACAAATAAGTTCAAAAGAACTTTCTTGAAAAGAAGCCTTACCAACGGATGTATGTGCATTCATGCCATTCGCTGATAATTTTTGTGCTTAGATTTAGGATTCACTCAGGTCCCTTAAGCTTTACTCTAGTTTTTGCCCATCTGCAGATTGAGACATCTGAGTAGATGATGAAAAAGTACATGTTTGGGCCAGGCTGAACAGCCGTCATTTTTTATCTGATCAAATTTGAGCTGCAGATCTTAGATCACACATGGGACACAGCCTTTGGCTACTCTGGATGGAATATATTTCAGATGGTGCAGATGATTTACAAGAAAAAGGTGTCTAAGACACTGCTCCCATAGCATCCCATTTAACTATCTTATAGCACATGAATGTTGGGCTGAAGTATTTCTCTTTGAATAAAAAGGAACACACAAGTTGGGCAAAACTGGGTTTACAGTTGTTTTATGGAAAATAGCACAAAAATTAATACATAATAAAACAAGAATAAACTCTGTTTCATGTATTGACAACTGTAAACCTACTTTTGTCCCACCCTGTATTTTGGTAGATAATATAAGATTCTAAATCTGAGTATCAGAGCATCTAAGTTACCATCATCATAGAATTTCATCAAATATGGACCACTATGCTGCTTTTCTGACATCAAATATCTTGATGTTTATGGTCAGCTCTGTGAACCAATTGATGGTAGAATTTCTCTTTAAAGATGAAATAAATTGTTCTTCCAGAACTATCTACAAAATTGGTTATATTTTATGCAAATTAAAAGGTGTTAAAACATTAAAAGATGCCAGTGGTTTACTCAGCTTAGCTCAGAGAAAGAGACTTAATGTTTAGAGTTAGATCTTGTGAATTCTTCTTTTAAAAAGACAATTGCAAATTTGATATATTGACAAAAGAGTGAAAATTTCAAGGCAGAGATAGAGTTTTAAAAATCAATCTATTAGATAATATTTGACTCTTAGGTAACAACATTTTAACATGAATTTCCTTTCTCTTTAATAATCTGTATGAATCTTTCCCACATAGCATCTGTTCTAAATCAGTCTATTTTCCCATTGCTTTTAAAATCAGGTCAAGGTTAATCTCCTATTCCATGTTTGCTTTCCAGGCATTACTCATGAAGCTGCTGATGAAAAGGTGATTTTTGGCATTGAATTTAATTCAACCTTTCTGGAATGTATACCTAAATCCCAACAAGCATCTATTAAGTGGTATATCCAGCGGTCAGGAGACGAACACCGAGAGGAGGTAAGGCACAGCCATCGGAAAAGCTCACCTCGAGGGAAACGGTAGAAACTTAAATCAAGCATTGGCTGTGAGAGATGTGTTTAACTCTTAGAGCCATATGGCACTCTCATCACTATTTGATAAAAAGGAAAATAACAGCTTATGCTCACTAATCCCAAAAGTAACTGCCTTTGAGATAAGAATAGGCCAGCTTAATACAACTGTGTTAATAACATATATTTAAAAGCAGATCAAATGTTTAAAATAAATTTATATCATGTTTTTCAAAATTTTTATTTCTTGTATATTGTTTATATTTTAGAACAATTCCTTGATTAGGAACAAGAAGATAGTATTTCCCCCATACCATAGCACAGTGACTAAATTTTAGCTCAATTTGTCTTCTGTATAGATCATAAAATAAAACTTGTCAAGTATGTATAAAAAAGAAATGAAACATATATCTTATAAAGAGTTGGGTGTCTGGACATATGCACATTTTAACTCATATATTAAAATTAAATAAATAGAGGGAAAAGTAATATGAATATTCTATTCATCTTTTGACTTTTTTCTGGTTCAGTTGTTTTAACACATGTGTGATTGAAATATGTCACAGATTCTGTGAGGTCTAAAGATAGGAATTTAATGGGATGAGTTTGAATACTCTGAGAAACCCTGTATTAATATTATTTGCTTGTCATGAAAAAAAGGTTAATTGGCAGATATTTTTTTCTATTTCAGTGCCTAAGATAAACCACTGATAATCTAGAGTTCCAAAATCCCCAGTATTAAACTAAGGACACTAATAAGTGATAAGTGATAAGTAATAAGTGATGGGATGGGCCCAGGATTCAGAATTCCTTGGGTCATATCACAGAGCCCCTTTGGACCAAAATTTTATAATGTGAACAAAAGGAATTCAAAAGTTATTGTGAACATAAAATGAGAAAATACATACAAGAATGTGAATCTCAAAGCAGAGAATTCCTCACCAGTGTAAAACACACATGTAGAATTGCAGTGGCTCCCTCAGGGAGGGCTGTAGAACAGGAGATGGCACTGGTCCTGTATTCGGCTTGACTGCCGAGGGTTTATGAGCAGGTTGAAACTGCTCTGACACTCTGTTTCTGTCATATAAGGAGGTGGACCACATGTTCTCTAAAATACCAGCCTCCTTGATCCATCTATAAACATTTAAAATTGTATATTTAATCAGTTAAACATGAATATAGAACAGTGGTTCTCAACCTCAGGGGATTTTGCTCCTAGAATATAAACCTTTGGCAACATTGTGGGTTGTCACAAGCTGGGTGGGAAGGTGAAGGGTGCCCATGGGCCAAGGTCAGGGCAGGGCTAGACGTCCCACCATGCTCAGTGTTTCACAATTGAGAATTGTCTGGCCCTGGGTTCAGGAGTGCTGAGGTCAGGACACCTTGGAATAGAAGAATCAAATTTTATAAAAAATTGGCTTAAAGTTATGTTCCACCATTTCATTAAAATGTTAACATGATTTTTCATTGGAGATCTTGAAGAATGGATTTTTATATCAAAATGGTGATACAACATACTTAATTCCAAAGGAATAACTTCATTCTCTGTTCTGTCAAATTGCTCCAGTAAAACCTGCTTCTTCATTATTGTTAACATCCTTAAATTCTAAAATATGACATATTCACATTTATACTAAATACTTAAAGGGTCCTATTTACAAGTGTATATTGAAATATTATCTGACATATGTTTATTTAATTTCAACATGTAAGCCTTTGCTTTTATCCAGAAAATATTAGAAGAATGTTATGTGAGTGTTTTATCATGCAGATTTTCTTTAGATACATTGCAATATTTTATTTTTAAATGTCCCAAAGCAGTATTTTAATTTTTAAGTGAAATAAAATTTTTAATAATGATTTTCCTCAATAGCAAATTTAATGTCCTTTTAAAAAAATGGTGCTTTGTATGGTTAACTCCAAGTTATAGAGACATACATTCGACCATGCATGTTTACATTCACATCTTTCACACATCTGAAAATGCTATGCATTACTTTAATTTACTTTTTAACAGTATATCACACTGTCATGGTAGTACCATGCTCTGTGAACTTCAATGGAGCAGAAATAGTATATTTATTGAATTTTACTTGAAAGTATCTTAGCTATAACATTTCAAATGATATTTCCATTTATCTTTGTAAATGGCTGGTCATACCAAGTCCAGAATCTGCCATACTGCTTCCTGAACTGAGGGAAGGGGCAAAATCCAGACTACATTTGAAATATTTTTCCCAGCAGGATACCTTCTGCTCCTTACCAAGAAGGTCACGGTTTGTAATCTTTCCTCCACTGAAAAAAAGCCTGAGGGAGGGACTAGGATCTCCCGTGGCACGGAGCTGTCACCAGGTTATTCTCTGCCAAGGGGAGAGCATTTCCTCACTGAGCTGTTTCACAGTTGGGTGCGGTTGGGGAGGTCATGACTCTGTTGTCTGCTGACTTTCTTATAAAGCCATGCTGGAAATGGATGATGTTTTTGCTATAACTAGTGAGTTCATCGGCAGTCCCAAGCTTCTGTTGAACTTTTGGGATCTGAACGAATAAAAGAGACAATACCTCATCCCATTTGCAGTAGTATGTTTTCTGGGGATCTTAAAAATATTTTATAAAGCATCCTCAAATATTTGCATTTTTTCTTCATAAATCTTTGTTTTATTTTCTTTTTATTATAAAAGTAATATTAATGGTTTTGAAAATATGATAAGACATAAAGAACTATGGAGCCTCTAAACATAGATAAGCACAATAGTGCTATGCGCCTATCTATTTTGATGTCTATTCCAGCATTTTCCTCCCTAACTGTTATATTGTGAGCATTTTCCCTTGTCATTCAATTTTAATACCGTATTTTTTTCTGTCCCCACCCCCACCACCCTGATGCCATTGACAGTCATCCATTAATGTTCCTTGTTTTATTTAAATAGCTCATGTTTTCTCTTTTTAAAAAAGTAATCCACTTCCATATATCTAAATCTTTCTCTATTTTTAGGACAAACAGAAGAAAAATAAATGAGTTGTAGACTTTAATTTTCTTTATGGCTTGGGATAAGCAACTGTATGTTGCCAATTTCCCATCAAAATCACTATATCAGTGCCTTTTCTGAACCCCTGAGGCAATATTTTATATTATAATTTAAGACAATCATTACCAGTTTGATATAAAAAATATATTGTGTTAATGTTTATTTCTTTGACTATTACTGAATGTGAACTACCCCCCTGTGTTTCTTGGCTATTGATTTCAGTTGTATTTGAATTGCCCTATCCTTTGCTTGGTTTACATCAATGTATTTATTTAAAAATTATTTTGTCAAGTCTTTTATATATTATAGATATTAACATTAGAATGTTATACATATTAGAAGTGACTTTTTATTATGTTATTGCTAACATATTTTGTTTCAAACATACACAAGTTTTGTAAATTTTATTTATAACATATAGATACATTGATTTATGTCTGTATGATTTCTCTCTTATGCTTAGAAATCCCTTGTCCAATGAAACAGAAAATAAATATATTCTAGTTATTTTATAATTTGATCTTGAAAACCACACTTTACATTTTATATGTACATTTACTGAAAGATATTAAATAAATCTAGGAGTTAGTTATGCATAATTTCAACTTTTTTCCTTTTAAATAATGAGCCAGTTGCCTCAGCACTATTTTTACGTCTCCCCTCTACACTTGTTGACGAAAGGAGATGTTCTTGAAGCCCTAGTCACATCTAAGACATGCACAGTGCTTTAGCTATGAAAGAAATGACAGGTGAATTCTCCGCAAAAGACTTACCATTTGACCGCTATTATCGGAGAATGAAGTCCCTGCCTTTACCTGCTGCTTTGTACCTAAGTGTCCTTTGTCCCTTTCCATGTTACTGCTCTAGTTTTATATGAATCGCCCTTCCTTAGAGGTCTAGATTTAATAATGTTAAAAATATTATCCTTGTTCACATTAGGCAAATGGATCATTGACCCCAGTTCAAGCATGGTTTTGATTTGTAAATCTGAGCAGTTTTTACTTATCACTTTTGGAGTGGAGAAAATTCCATGAGTTTAAATTAGTGGGCAGAGATTGCATTATCTCTCTGCAGAGGAGCTGAATCTTCTAAATTGACTCTGCTGACATTTCGCTGTCGAGATACAGTCTGCATAATGCATCCTCTCCCAGTACAGGGTGAAAGCACTGCAGTGAGAATGTAAGGCAGGCAAATGTTAATCAGCCACTTACTTTCTGGGTCACAGATTTTTATCTCTAGATTGCAAGAGTCTTATGAAAATATGGCAATTCAAAATGTGTTCGGTCAGAGGCACCATGTCATATTTTTAAATTTTAGGAAAAAAATCACTTGAACAACCCAATAGATATTAAATAAATCTAGAAAGCCTAAAACTTATTAAAGCAGGTGTTATATCTCTAGGTCAAAAACCAAAGAAAAATTGAGCATTCCGTGGAAGAAAGGAAAGGTGAAGGATCACAGCAGAGTAATGAAAAGCCAGCTGTCTGTGAAACTCTCAGCGCTGTGGGGACAGAGGTGGTCTGGAAGGCAGGGAAGGGAAGCAGACTTCAGAGCGAAGCAACAGAAATAGGATGCAAAAGGAGAATAGTAAAAATAATGACCAAATGTTGCATATTTTGTGTGAAATCCAAGGCATAATTTCTTCCTGCAGAAGATTAAAGGCAACAATAAAAGCAGGAGTCAGAGCTGTGACAATCTTTAAAGACACATTAAACAGATTAAACATTAGCAAGAATGCCATTTATGAGAGGAAATCTGGGATGAACTGGAAAGGATGTTACCTGCTCTGGTTGTCATGTTAATAACCACGGGCCATTTTCTATTAGAGAATTATAGAAATAAAGGCTTCAGAACATCATCTTGCCAACAACATGTAATATTGCTAATAATACTTCACACTTTAACCTTCAAAGAGCTTTATTTTTACCACCCCCATCCCCACACACACACCACATGCTATGTCACCAACTTGATAAATGGGAGTCTGAGCAAGGAAGATAAATGAGTTATCATGGTAAGCCTTGCAGATAGGGACCAGAACCTAGGCTTATGGAGTCCGTTCTGTGTTCTAAGATACATTTAAATTTTTAAGAAGTATTTCTACAGTGAAATTATTTAAAATAAAAAATCTATCTAGTGTGTTAAATTTGAGATTGTGTTTCTGTTTTCTATTGGCCTTTTTTATTTAAATCTATTTAGTTTATGCACAAGACTCCTATGGTTACTGAGAATGGAAGTGAGTTCAAGATTAGTTTGTGTTACAATAGCTTTTAAAAATGTCCAGTCTTTTTCAAATAGATTCTTTAGAAAAAATACTACACGCCCAGCTCACCAAATGGGCAAAATAAGGGAAATGAACAAAACGCTAATGGTGTGGATTCAGTGGTGTAGAGTCAAGGCAGGGCTGGAGACCATTCAGCCTCATTAACCAGGGATCTGAGCTGTGACCTGCCTTTGGCCTCGTGTGGTCCCCCACCAGCTGCACTTCTCTGGCACAGAGGGTGGTTGGCTATATACTTGTTAGTTAACTGGGCTGATAGCCAGAGATGTTTCTTTTCCTTTTCTTATATTTCCAGAATTGAGGGATTTTTCTACATATTTTTCACATAAAGATGCAGAGTTTAGTCCACCCACTGTGAATAAATTGAATTTAGTCGTCTTCATGCCTCCTTGATTTCCACCAACTAAAAGTCTACAATACAGGGGCAGATGTGTAAACTGGAAATCTTCCAGACTTCTTTGTTGTTGTCATGATTCTGCTTAATGCCGAGACCCTTCCCAACACTCCACATTAAACAGGGCTCTCGTGTCAGTAAACATGCCTTCAGTTTTATTGAAGATAGGTTCGCTATTCACAGCAGATCGTGGGCCAGACAAGCTTAGATGTCTGAATTGCCTTTCAGTGGTGTTGCTTCAAAGGGTAAAGGGCATCGCATTTCAGGGGAGGTGCTTTTTGTTCATTGAGCATTCTCACACTTGAAATCACATAACCATGGTATAATATATCGAGGTATGGCAAATATTTCCACAAATGACATAGTCTAAAGTATCATATGTGCATACAGTATCAAAATTCAATCCAGAGTAAAAAGGGAAATTCAGCTTTAAATGTTGCGAACCTTCTGACTACGGTCCTGCTCACTTACATCTCTGACATTCAAAGGCTGCATCCATGCCTTTGCCCTTGACTTCTAGCAAGCTTCCATACAAGCTGTTTACTTACAGCTTCCATATGCAATTCAGGTCATTTATTTGGTGATATCTAGAAAACAGTAAATTTCTTGAAACCGTTGTTCTGTTCTACACTAAATAGTAGGGTGCACTACAGCTGTTTTTCCATGCATGACTGTCAACATCACATTCTAGCTCTGAAATTCTTTCAACACCAGTTGGTATCTGAAATCTCCGTCCAAGTGGTCAGTTGAGAGTTTCTAGTTTTCCTTTATTAATATTTTTAACAGCTTTTCATTCCTATCCATGGACTGGAAGAAAAACTTGCTGTATTCCAACTGTTCAACGAGGCATCCTGAGATGCTAACATGTACCTTTGGGGCTATTACTTGTTGAATTTTTTTATTCTCTTTCACTATGGCTGACAATATTATGCTTTATGATGGAGAGACAGGGAGTATATCTTTTAGGTTCATCTAAGTAAAACTATGTAGCCTGTTTTCATTTGCTCATAGCCCTCTCTGTTTTTAATTTATTACCTACATTTTTCCAATTCTGCAGTTGAAACCCGATGAAAGGATCATCAAAACAGAATATGGGCTACTGATTCGAAGTTTGCAGAAGAAGGACTCTGGGATGTATTACTGCAAAGCACAGGAGCACACTTTTATCCACACTATAGTGAAGCTGACTCTGAATGTCATTGAAAATGAACAGATGGAAAATACCCAGAGGGCAGAGCATGAGGAGGGGCAGGTCAAGGATCTGTTGGCTGAGTCACGGTTGAGATACAAAGACTACATCCAGATCCTTAGCAGCCCAAACTTCAGCCTTGACCAGTACTGCGAACAGATGTGGCACCGGGAGAAGCGGAGACAGCGGAACAAGGGCGGCCCAAAGTGGAAGCACATGCAGGAAATGAAAAAGAAACGGAATCGAAGACATCACAGAGATGAGCTTCCTAGAGCAGTGGCCACGTAGTTTTCTATTTAATTTAAAGAAAAGAATTCTTTACCTGAAAAGTACTGTCTTCTGTTTTGTATATCCCTTATACTTACTCATTCAAGTTTTCCATGGAGGTTGGCTTAGGCACAAGAAAAATAATCTGAGTAAGACTATGTATGGTGACTAAGGCATAGGAAGGGCAAACAAGTCATCTGAACCAGATCTCCAAGAACTAAACTTGTACCTGCAATGTATCAGAATCATCCTCAACATAGAGACTTTACATTTGTAAATGTTTCATGATCTGAGTTTTTGAATTTATGTTGTCATGTACATAAAGGAGCTAAGCAGACATCACATTTGATAATGTACTAAGGAGCTTTGGTTCCCTTGCATGGCCCTTAAGCACAGAGTTCGCCATGTCATTGTGCTGTATGTCCTTGTGAACAGACATGCCATTCTGCTCTAGAACTGGCCACCTTGTGGTAGGGATTGGAGGGAAGACATAGGTTCAGACCACTCATATATCAACAGGAACTTTCCCAGTGAGTCATTCACTCTCATCGCACAATTTAGGAATTTGGAGAGGTACATTAGTTGTTTTCAGAGCGCAGGGATATTTCGTTTACTATAGCATTGATTTACTGAAGGGTAGGAATGTTCCTCCCAGGATTCCCTGTGTCTTACCAGGGGAAACCAGTTCACAGTGAGAAGCTGGTGTTCATTATGTGTTTTTAGATTATATGCTGAGCCTTACAGGGACAGAATGCCTAATAAATATTTAAGGAAGATAGGGAAAAACATTTTAATAAAATAAGGGAAATGTCATGATGTACACTGCATCCTAATGGGAAAGCATGCAGATGGGATTTGTTAAGAGACAGAAGGAAAGACAGCTATAAATTCTGGCTTTGGGGAAAATTCATATCCCCATAAAAAGGAAGAATAGTCACAAATAAACTGGGTGAAATGTAATGTTGCTGAATTCACCAGAGAATAAGTAGCTGCCAATTTATAATCCATCTGTTTAAAAAATTCTAGATTATAAAAAACTGCTAGGAGAAGTCTGAGAAAAAGTAAATTTTCTAAAGGATCATGGGAAGAATGAACACGAGTTTATTTACAACCAAGGGGATTTTAGTACTTTCTTTTTTATAAAAACTCACCCTACTCTATAAATTATTTCCATTTACTGCCTTTATTGTCTTGAATATTGGATTATGGGATTTTGTTTGAGTGAATAGAAAAAACAATATATGCATACATATAGATAGAGTTAGGTAGATATTAGTGGTAGGGAGCAGGGAGATATATTATTAAATAACAGAACAAATGCAAAAAAATGACAACGGAAAGGGTTAAGTTAACTCTTTGACATCTTTTTTCCACACCATCTTTTTGCATTTCTGAGATTATATGCTGTAATTCAAGTAACATTCTTTTAGTAATTTAATAATAAATAAGCCTTACTGCATGTAAAGAAAACAAACTCACAACATAAACATCTTTCATATTTTTGTTAGCACTTTCAAATATTTCTAGTTTGACTTTACCTCTGAATATGCATGGTATGTTTTCCACACAGTTAGGCCGGACTCACCTTTGCTTCTTAAACACAAAATGCTTAGCCCTCTTCTGTTTTGCCTTTTCACGCCCTTTTTAGTGTGAAATGAAAAATTAGTCACTTCCTCACATGGAAGGCAGCTTTTCAGAAAACTAAATAGCAGACGTTGCTTGTTTCTCATGCATTCTGTGTGTCTTGAAAGAAAAGCCTGTGAGAATCCATGTGATTAGAGGGCACCTTATTACAGTGTTCAATGTCATGTCTATGACTGGCTTTGTGTTCACAACATTCTATATAACACATTCATTTTACTCACATTACTTACCTATCTCAAAGTAGTCACACTGATATATGAGGTTAAGTCCCCCTTCAATATGACACCCATAAGTATTTGTTGATGATGCTGTGTAAGAAAATGTAAGGATTTAAAACTTAGGTTTATAAAAAAGCAAACCAGACAAATCAGTTTTTTAAAAAATAATGCATAATAGTTGTTTTAGGATGAGACTGCTAATTAAATACCATTACAAGAGTGTTTGTAACTATTGATTTCCTGAGTTAAAATGTTCCACGAACCCATAGCAAGGTCAAAGTAAATAAGTGGGAGTATGTTTTATTTTTTAAAGATTCCCACATATTTATATGTCAGAGAGTAACAATCAAATTATGGGTGGCTTTGAATGAATTACATGAAGCTCAAATGTTAGGATCAACTTGTGAAAATAAGTTTGGTTTTCTTCCAAATATAAATGTCCAAGCCATTTTTAAATTCTTTCTTATCATAGTTATTCAGACAAAATTTTGTAAACCTGCTTTAATTTACAGCTAATATTTTGGCTGCTTTGAATCTAAAACTATTAATTTATAATAATTACATAAAATATATTTGAAATATTTTAGTGAAATAGGATTCCATATCATTGAAAAACCAAATGGACAAAAGATTTATGTGTATTTATAATGATAGAGGACATTAAGCTACATTTAATTTTTTGACTTTTTAATGGCCTAGAACACTTGAGGAACAGTGTGAATATATTACATGTAAGACAAGGTACAACATACAATATAGAACTCTGAGAGCTCTTCCACCATAAAACTGAAGATTTTACCAAACTCTTTGAAATAATAAAAAAATGAAATTATAATCAATGCTTTCAATCCATTTTCTTAGAAAACAGCTCTTTATGGAGAGGTCTTGAAATGTCTGTTTATTCCTGGATTCACATTTTCCTTCCGTGTTGGGAATCCTTGTGTCTTTGACTTGCATATTCTCACCTGCATTTCATTGCAGCTATTTGTGCTGCTACACAGAAGCCTGCCTGTCTGCATTCATTTACATCCAGTTAATTAGGAATTCAAAGAGTTTGTTTAACAGTGGATTGTTGGATAATTAATTTACGTAGAACCCTTCCTCCACCCTAAAGAGCTCAAAATACATTCACATTTTTGAATAAACATTTTTGAAAACCAACCAAATTACTTAAGAGAAGGAAAAATAGTCATAGAGAAATTTAGAAATTTGCAAAAGCTGTAGTAGAGAACTGTTATTAACACAAAAATTTCGGTTGCCTTCTATCTATATTTTGGTTCTTCATATGTTATTAAGTTGTGTTCCTGCTGGGTGTACAGTCTAAACAAAATAAGAGTTTGCAGTGGCCAGTGCCTCCTTTTCAACATTATCAAAATTAAATTTGAAAAATATTACAAAATATTTACAAAATGCAACATTGAACAAAAGCATTCATTTAACACTGCTATTCTGAACTTAAATATACTTCATTGAAATCATTAATGGAAATGAAATTAAAAACTGAAATGGCTTCTGTTTAAAATGTTACATTTCTCTTTGACAATGTGCTAGGATTGATTCACCTTATTGGAAATGAATAGTTTAGAAAAAAAGGATATATTTAAAATGTTTTTATAGAAAGATATTTTTCTTACAGAAGACCACAATATTTAAATAATTTAGCTTCATGTGAGATTAAAAAATAAGATCTAAAATCCCAAGAGCTGCACACCGACAGTGCAAAGGCAGGAGCATGTACATGACTTATACCTCTCAGTTAAATGTTTTGTATTATAAAGTATTTATGGTAAGTTTACTATGGATGATTTTTTGGGAAAGGGCAATAATCTGTCAGTTAATTGTATAATTTAATTCTGATATTGTTAAGTGCTTAGCAATCAATTTTAAATTTATAGTTTTGCTATTTTGAGAGAAATGTAGTCTTCTAATCTAAAATAATTGAAATTTGTTAAATGTATATTTTGGTTGTATTATAATAAAATACAAACATTTGTATTCTATGGTGATAAACAGAATGTTGGTTTGTGTGCAAGTTTTGTTTCATACCCCTGAACATGGAAACCAAATTTTATGCATAAAATTACTCAAATTCAAATACCAAAGAAAATATTTCTTGACAATTATCAGTAGATACATTCTGCACTGTAAGTTTACAATAATTTCCTTTATGAAAAAAATAAATAAGTAGTTGTCCCCAGTTAATACAATTATATAGTTAAGCTTTACTGTGATTTAAATTTAGACTTCAGCGGGCTGAGATGAACATTATTAGCACAAGTAACTAGTACTTTTAAGATTTCCAATTACCATCTGTATGTGAAACTTTAAAATACTCATCTGTATGTTTATCTTAGGAGTATAATTTATTCAAGGAGTAAGTTGAGGGTTTTGTTTTGCTTGCTGTATAAAGAAATTTAAATTTCTTCTAGGGAAAATTATATTTCTTGCCAATTTTGTACACACAACGTAACTGAACAGAATGGAAATTCGGCTGCCTGCCACCCCAAAAGTCAGATTCATGAGGCAGGTGCTGGTGCAAAAGGATTGAGGTTCTCTTCAGATGCCGTACAACCTGGGATAATGGTGGATTCCTGTCTCTGACTAACTTATCTTCCTCTCAAGCCTACAGTTCCTTTTTTAAAAAATATTTTATTTACTTATTTGTAGAGAGAGGAGAATGGAGGGAGAAAGAGAGAGAGACAATAGGTTGCCTAGTGTGCTGACTGAGGTAAAAAACTCACAACACAAACATGCCCTGATTGGGGATAGACTGCTGACCTTTCACTTTGCAAAATGATGCCCAGCCAACTGAGCCACACCAGTCAGGGCTACCCCACAGTTCTTATAAGGATAAGGAGGGGAAAGCTTTTTCCCCATCCAAATTATCTTGCTAGCTTTGGTTGCTGGGGGCCCTATCCGTTCGTATTTCTAGCTTTCTTCACCGGTCCTCAGGGTAAGAGCCTCCCCTGCCACCATCTTGGTCAATGGGGGCGAGAGACTCCCTGGTGTTTTGTCTATCATAATGTGAAGGACAGTTTATATGCACAAACAGATGTTACTATAACATCTCCCCAAACCTGGCAATGAAATAATTTACAGAGATATTCCATAGAGAAATGTCAAATTTTCTGAGAGTTCTGACAAACTTCAAACATGAGAGTTATAGTAAAGCATAATCTTTTTTTAAAACTTTTTTTAAAGATTTTATTTATTTATTTTTAGAGAGGGAAGGGAGGGAGATAGAGAGAAAGAGAGAGAGAGAGAGAGAGAGAGAGAGAGGGAGAGAGAAACATCAATGTGCGGTTGCTGGGGGTTATGGCCTGCAACCCAGGAATGTACCCTGGCTGGGAATCGAACCTGGGACACTTTGGTTCCCAGCCTGCGCTCAATCCACTGAGCTACACCAGCCAGGGCAGTAAAGCATAATCTTTGAGAGAAAAAGGAACTGTATGTAGGACATTCATCAGCCCTAGATCATGTCCAAGCTGTCACTTTAAATAAGATACAACACAAGATTAATAATTAAGAAAATTCCAGTTGTGTTTGTTTGAATGTAGAAAGATACATGAATGATTTCCAGGACTAAAGAAAATAAGTGTAATACTTATGTTGAGAATCAATGTATTTATAACAATACAACTTATCTGCATTAACATTACTCACTAGTCCAAAAAACTTGCCCAGAAAGATGAAACTGCAAATAATTTATTATTTGTTTCAGAAGCTCATATACTTTTACCTTGTGTATATATTGGTATAAGCACACATTGGAGGCTGATTTGGCAATATCCAATGAAGTTTAAAATGCACCCACTCCAAGAATCAGCTTCTCACAATTAAGTATGTACCCTTGAGAACCTCCTCTATGTGTGCAATAATAGACATTTAAAAAAGTATTTGTTGTGGGAGTAATTATAATAGAAAAGAGAGAATATATATGTGCTGCAAAAAGACAATGGATGAATTAATGTATAGTGATTTAATGGATACAGAAGTTTAAATGGAAAAAAAAGAGCTGCGTGCATCAGCATGGGAAAATGTCAGGAACATAACGCTGCATGAATAGAATCACGTGGTGTGGGCATGCAAACAGAATTACACTGGACATCTCAAGTTTAAAGAAGCAAGTGATACTGCTTCTGCACATACACATTCAAATGTAAGTAGTAAACATAAAAAAACACTTCTGGAAAAGTTAAGCATCAAATTCAAAGTAGATTTTCTTCTAAGATATAAGAGTAGGGACACAGGAGCAGCAATTGTTTGAATAATGTTTTGTTTATTTAAAAACATCTAAACCCAATATTATATTTACATTATATTACATATATTTGTAGCAGTTAGTATATTTCAATGTAAACATTTGATGAAGTTGGGCATTGGATTACAATTTACACATATTACTCTCAACAAAATTCTGTGTGCTTGAATTATTTCAAAATATAAAAAGAGATTAAGGATCTAAATCTCAATTTTAAAAATATTCAGTAGTAAATTCTGAAGAGTATGGGAAAGAGAAAAAAGACTAACAGTCAAAATATTAGGTATTCAATCACCATAATAGATGCAGCCTTCTAATTCCAGTTACTTTTACATTATGGGCTTCTTGGACACCCTGATTACTCCTAAAATGTGACAACTAGATCCAGGTTAAGCCTACGGGACCCTGGAATAATGTCTAGTTTTCAGAGCAACACCTTATTGTTATGAAAATGCCTAAGGCATCTAGGAGGTAGAACTATGTGCTGAATATGCCAAAAGGCTCTGGACAGCTGAGCTAGCCTTTTTTTGGATTGAACACTGTTCAAGGTTGTTGTTTAAAACAGAGTTTCTTCTTTCTGGCTTACATATTAAATATACAAACCAACATATGCTCTTTAGGTGACCTGAAGAGAGAAGAGAAATATTTATATCTAGCAAAATGTCTTTTTATGACCCCATACATTATTTTCTATAAGAAAGGCTCTATATCAAATTAATTCATAATTTTAATTAACTATGGATGTTCTGTTTATGTGGACCAAAATTTAGCCCCCAATTTTGCCTTTTGCAAACTCTCATTTTCATTGACTTCTGTCAGTGAGGGATTAGTCTATTTAAATACACATTGTAGAAGTATAAGGGGGCATGTTCAGACAGTATTAAAGTACATAAACTTGGATAAGAAGGAAATGAAACCAATTTACCAGATGGGAAGTTATCATTTAGAATCAGGAAAAGGATTGTTTAATGGACCGTGTCCCACTAAGCTTTTAATATATTGAAACAAATTACTCTTGAGTAAATATATCTAATTATTGAATTGTGTTATAATGGTAGCGGCCTTTCCAAAAGGCCATTTTTACCACTGAAAAATAAATAAAAACTCAGAATGTCCTGTGGTAGTTTGTGATTTTGTAGTTAGTCTATATGGGCATTCCGAAGTGGTGTTAAGTTTCAGTGACTTCGGGCCAAGCGAAGAGTGACACTGTCATGCCCGGCTCACACGTGAGACCACACACAGCTGAACAAGACGGCAGAGGACGAACATCGGGAACATCGTGATTCACACTAAATAAAGATTTAAGCATGTCGATGTGGGGGACACTTTGGTATTTTTTAAGCAGAGCAATGATAATGAGATTTTCATCAAATCTATATATGAAAAAGAAACATGAAGTGAAAAACTTTTATGAAGTGAAAAACTTTTTACAACTGGGAGGATGAGAGCTTAAAAAATAAGAAATATAGAGGAGTAAAGGGGTCCGAGTGGGAAGATCATAGTTTCAGCCTGAAGTACAGAGAGTTTGAGATGATTTCAGGAGGGTACGGTGGGCAGTTCGATACACGGATTGGGTGCTCAGGGGAAATGGACTCACTGGGAGCTGGACTCATTCTGCGGCCGCTGCAGAGATGACGGGACCAGTGCAGTGGGGAATGCAGGAAGATGGGAGGAGCTGCGCGGTCCGCTGGGAACCCGGACTGGTGTGTATCCTGATGCACGTTATCACTGATTCACTCGTACTTCAACGAGGTATCTCCAAAACACCAAACGGCTTAAAAATTCATTATTTTTCCTTATTTCTTCCATCTGAACCTAAATTTCTTGAAGACTAAATCTTCACTTTAAGTGTGTAGTACAGTATCTAGAAAATAAAAATGACAGTTAAACCTGTAAGTGAACCAAGAGAGTTTTTCTCAAAAATTTTGATTTCTTATTTAAGAAAAAATTCCACCAAATGGAAGCATTTTATAAAATTCCTACCCCATGTGCTTCTTTTTAAATCAAATTAGTAAGTTGATGAAGGTCTATTTTCATTTTGAATGTTGAACTGGTTTAAGCAAAACAATTACAAACCGGTGCTGTTGGAGGTTTTTTGTTTGATTCAGGTGGACAAAGCACCATGAATTAGAAGGTTTAAATTGGTAGGAAAGTTCATATAGCTTGTAATAGGTGTTTTGTTTAAATACAAGGACTTTGGAAAGTCTTTTAAGAAAACTTTAAAGATTTAAATTTAAATACATAGCACAGTAAAGATTATAGTTTTCTGGGACAGATATGCATTGGTTAATTAATATTTAAATTATATTATTTTCCCTAGAGTATCCCTCTGTTCAACTACATTAAAGAGTCCATAAAAGGACTGTCCAGAAAGTGTCCAGACATGTGCTATGAAAAATACAGACATTTATTAAAGAAGATACAAGATACAAGAAACATTATACACAGCGCAATGGCATTTCAGTCCCCTTCAAAGTAGGCACCTTGAGACATCACACAGCATTCCCAATCACCGTCAGCTGCCCTGTTGTATTTTCCTGAATCTCATCAATGGTCTGAAATCTCTTCTCTTTCAAAGGTGATTTTAGTTTTGATTAAAGTCAGAAGTCACAGGGCACCAAATCTGGGCTGTATTGAGGCTGAGTCTCCTGAGTGATTTGAAGTTTTGCAAAAAAATTCTGCATAAGACATGATGCATGAGCAGGTGCATTGTCATGATGAAGCTGCCAATCACCAATTGCCCATAG